TGGGCGCAACCGCCCCCAGGGGGGCGGTGGCGACAGCTTGGGGGGGCGCTGTGGCGAAATTGGGCAATTGGGGGGCGTTAAGGGGGCGGTTTGAAATTTTTCATGAAATGCACAAAACAATTTTTAATGGTGAAGGGAAAGAAGCCACATATATTCTACATAAAAACAAAACAAAAACAAAAACTAATAACAGTTAAAGAAATGGTTTAGCTTAAGCATAGTTTACAGTACTACTTACTACTAAAAACGTTTTTCCCAGCACGCAAAACCCATAATGATGAGATATTCGCGCTTAGTAATTTTCCATAGTATCTTCTAAGGAATATCTGGCCAATAAAAGCTTTTCGAGGAGATCCCTCTGACCAATAAATATAGTTGTCGGTATCGCGGATTTATGAGCTTCTTGGAGAAATCAGTCAATGTAGTACTTACTGTTCACTGTCTCATTCACAGACTGCATTTGGTGGCAAAAAACCTGAGTGATAGTTTGCATGACACACTGGCCATTGTCATCAAGTGTATGAACATGATCAAAGCCCACGCTTTGAATTCTAGATTATTCCAACAACTGTGCACTGAAAATGATGAGGAATTTCAATGCTTACTTTTGCAAACTGAATTCCGATGGCTCTTAAAAGGAAATTGTTTAAAGCGATTGTTCTGCCTGTTTGACTCTGTGCTGAAGTTTTTTTTCAAGAAACAGACAGTGATCTCTGTAATAAACTGGAAGAACACAAGAACAGCATTGCGTCCCCGCATATCTTTTCACAAAGTCCACCCAGTTCAACTTGAAGCTGCAGGGGAATGACACCAACCAGATCAAGGCAAATCCATGCTTTCGTCATCCTTGTCAAAATTGGAAATGTTCCGCCGAAACAAAGGCAGAAGAGAATTTGCTCAGTTTCCTAGTTTGGTGGAGACACTGAAAGAAAGGTGCGTGTCCGACGAGAAACTAGAAATATACCAACCACCTCAGAAACTTGCTTGCTGATTGTTATGAAGATAATATTTTTTTTAGCTTTAGTAGAGGTTTTACGGCGCTCGCAATTGCATACGGTCATATGACGCCAAGGGGCGGATGTCAACAGAGAAGTCCTTACAGGGAAACAGACTTACTCTGCTCACCTCTCTAGCTTCAACAGCACAAAGTCTGCTTCGACAATCAAGGCACTCCTGAAATAGCGGGTCACAAAAGAGTGACGAACATACAAAAGAAGTAGAGGAAAAAAGACAATAGTAAGGATTAGAAAGAAAAAGCAGCAGTTCCCTGTTGTAGATCAGGCACAGTTATGAGCGTGGCATTCATGAATCAGCCCATTTACAATTCTACTGTGCATGAACGAGAAATGTCCCCCCTTTGGGAATGGCCTAAGGATACTTCAGTCAGTGGCACCGCCCCGGGGAGAGGAAGACAAGGTTTACTGATATTTTTTAATTGGAAATTCCAGACTGAAACAGACGTAACTTTCCAGTACTTAGCAACTGAAGAAGAGCTTCTGACAATGAAAAGTGAATCTGAAATACAGTCATTGTTCAAGGAGTCGTACCAGTCATTCTGGTTGAAGACTTCTGCAAGACAAAATTATGCCTCACTGTGAGAAAAGATCAAGTTGTCGTTCATCGCTTTTTCCACCTCTTATCTAGTAGACAGGGGATTCAGTGCAATGACAAGGCTGCTGACGAAGCAGAGGAACAAATCAAGGACCATAGAGCATGGCGATTTGTGTCTGCTACCGACCAATCTGAAACCTGATGTTGATAAGTTGGTTTCGTCTCACCATGACCATCTTTCCCAATAGGTCAGAGTAAAAAAATACTTCTATGTATATGCTTACTCTGTAGTTTACCCTCACTGGATACCTTTTTTTTTTTTTTTTTGCTTTCTTTCTTTCTTTTTAAAAAAAGAAAACTATTCACCTGTTTAAATCTAGTAATAGAGTTTGTTATGTCCATGTTCTGCCGCTGCTGATGAAACTGATGTTCATGATTTATTGTCACATAAAAGCAAACCACAAATAAATCATTGATTATTGGTTTGAAAACAGATGGTCATTATCTTTATGAAACGTCTTCTCCCATCAACACACTGCAATAAAGACGCCTGTGATTTGTATATCAGTATAATTAATTTAAACATTTTATATTGTTATTTTATTTTGTCTAAAATTAAAACAAGGCTCTCCCTCCTACCCTGCTTACCAAACAATGATGATCGTGATGATTATGAGGATGATCATGATGATGGTGATGATTATGATGATGATAATGATGATGATTACGATGATGGGTGATGATTACAGACTAAGATCAGAGCATAGTTTTTCTTTCCTGTGGTTTCTCACATTTGAACAATTTAATATATTTTTATGTTGTACAATGGAGCTACTTGATATACAAATCACAGGTGTCTTTATTGCAGTGTGTTGATGGGAGAAGACGTTTCATAAAGATAATGACCATCTGTTTTCAAACCAATAATCAATGATTTATTTGTGGTTTGCTTTTATGTGACAATATATGTATTACATTATTGATGTTAATGACGCTGGTCGTTTAATACCGACGACAACTATATGCATAAAATGACATTTTTTTCTCAATGACGACTCCATGTCCTTGCATACTATTTATGAAAAAATGTGTATTATTATCTCTCGTACACGCATAATTTAAGATTCTATAAAGATAGTGATTTGTGACCCAACTAATGTTTCTATTCGGAACTAAATCGTTAGAATTTAGGTACGTTGTTTTGTACTCTGCTGTTTGAGCTCTCTATTTGTGATTGTAAATATGTATATCCCTTTGTCAGATTGATGGTTGGCTGGAGTAGAAGGGCGCTGAGACTCGGCTGGGTGAAAAAGGGGGCGGTGGGTGAAAAAAGTTTGAAAACCACTGATCTAGCCTACACGCACACTCACATACACAGACTCACACACATACTCTCACATGCACATTTATAATTATGCACACCGCACACGCTTGTGGCCTTTCACGCGCGCACATACACATACACACACGTATACACATACACACACGCATGATACACACATACACACACACACACTGCATACACACACACACACACTACATACACACACACACTACATACACACACACACACTACATACACACACACACACTACATACACACACACACACACACTACACACACACACACACACACACTACACACACACACACACACACTGTCTGTCTACTATATTTTGACCACGTCTATCCGTCTATCTATCCATCAATCTATTCATCCCTCCATGTATCTGTCCATCCATCCTTTCATCCATCTATCTAACCATATATAGATCTATCCATCCATCCATCTATCTATCCGTCTATCTATCGGGAGCTGTAATCTGTCACTCGTGCGGCAGTAGACTTACTACGATACAAAACATAAAGGTGGACAATGACAATTGAGTACCGTGAGTAAGTGTGCTTATTGCTTTGCTACAATGCACGTGCAAGATGTCTCCGACGTTTGTGCTTTTCTGACTACCTGACTGGACAACCCTCTCTGGATGAAGGCCTGGGATTTTCCTCCATCGTGCAGAAACCGTTTTTACGTCGTGCTGAGATCAAGAGCTACTTCAACAAACGATTTCTCCATCGCCGCTCCGCGCTCCCCGGGATCGCTCAATGTGCCTCACACAAAAAATTTCTTACGAGCAC